CGGACGACGTCGTCGACAATCGGGTCAAAAACGCGTCGAAAATTCAAATTTTACAAAATTTCGACCCGCGATCGATCGTCCTATAGGGATCCCTTTTGGGTTCCTCATGTTGGTTTCATCCTTCTAAGTGTTAGAAGTCGATACCACACACGCGAAACCACAAAAGAGTACCGAAGCGGGTTGAATTTCTAGAATGAGGCGGGTCCCATTTCTAAGGTTCTAAGATAGTCGAAGGGAGATTCCTAAGGCTAGATCTTAAACCTTAAGCGGAAGACTAGACCTCACGAAAATTGAGGTCAACACCTTCCTCACGCTTCTCCTTCGCACCGAACCGCTCGAAGCTCGATGTCGCCTCGTTGCACGAGAACTCCTTCGATCGAACCCGCATGTGGCTTCAGCTCTCTTGGTAGATTATTGCCTCTAATGTCGATTTATAGGGCAAACTGGTCTCCTAGACTTCCGACCCCTCGTTTCACTCTCCCCTTTTCGGTTTCCTGACTCCTTATTTCCACTTCTTCCGTTTCCTCGCATACTCTTCCAATTGTTCATTTCTTCTTTCCCGAGTAATTGAAATGGGACTTTACATGTTGCACCAAATAATTTTGACACGACTAGTTTCTTTAGCATTAAACAATCAAGTCTTTCCTTGAGAAATTAGAAACCCCTATTTTCAAAGAAATAGTACTCGTTCACCACTAAAAAGTAAGTAAATCATGTCATTAAAGACAAAACAAAATTGAAAGTGAAGAAATCAACATTTTATTTGTTGAAGATAAAAAAGGTAAAACATCTGATAAAAAACGTTGGCAAATTTCTACCACTTCACTTACATCAGTTGCAAGTCAGTAAACCCAGAAGGATGAAGTGGTGAAAAGCAGCAAAGTGAGGCAAGGGATTCAAAGTTTATAAACGAAAAAAATAATTATGGAAGGAGCACAAGTCATAGTTTCTACCAGTGCAATACTTTAAAACATAATGAAATAATTGGAGAGTTTAGGTTAAATCAACATCTGAACAAACCACCGTCATGTCATTATTAGCATTATCGTAACTATTTGAGGACGGCTAAAATAATTTCTCCATTCATTCATATAGAGCATGCCTTAGCCATTAAGCCTATTACGAACACATCTTTTTGCATAGCTTTTATGCATAGTAGCTTTGGTATACCCTTTCCCTTCCCGCTCGTTTGGTAGTAACAGTAACAAAACCAAATATATTTCCTGCTCATAACATTTACCACTAAAACAGCTTCAAAATATAATATTTGAATAAAACGAAGAAAATATCCATTACCTGTTGCACCATTGCTCTGGTTTCGTCCCCTGCAATGCAAACACTCAATATTAGCAATGGATTAGGCTTTCGAGGGGAAAAAGAGATGGAAATAGAAAAGGAAGCAAAAGAGAAAAAAACACTTTCAAAAGATGAAGAAATCTTTATAAAATAATAAAAAAAATCCAACCGCAATGAAAAACACAGACCTTAAAGCTTTTCCCTTTCAAAGATAATCACTAAACTGAAAAACAAACTACCCTTTAAAAGTTATTTTTGCATAAAAAAATTAATTGTCAAGCACGTTTTACAAATCTAACAGTCCATAGTAAGAAAGAAAATATATCATGGCACGTAAACATTACATAAAAACAGGTGAATCAAGAAAGCCGTAGTAGAACTGATAACACTCAATGATAACACTCAATAAATTAGAAAATTCATGAGAATGCATTTGTTGGCTAACTAGCAAGAAGAAGAGGGTGGCCAGAGGCTCAAGATAACAACAGAAATCTATGAGATTGCATTCGTAGGTGGACTAGGAAGGAGGGGTGGTACGAGGCTTACTGATTCGAAGGCTGCTGACCAAACAGTGTAAAAAGTGATTGTTGTAATGACAGAGCTTGCTACAGGTAAAATAAAAAGCGATTCAGATGGGGCCTCAAAATGAACCTTAACAACAGCTAATTCAATGAGAACCTGCAATGCCTCCGGTGATGCTAGCTGCCGAAGAAATTCTGGATTTTGCACCATTTCTCTCAACTGAGTATTTGATTCCATCATGCTACGAAGCTGTGGATTCATATTAAATATCTAACAGGATGAAAGAAGTGTGAGATCACTAGCATCGTTCATGGGAATTTTTTCTGATATCAACAAAAAATAGGTAAGAGAAGGACCTGGTTGACATATTGGGGATTTGATAGAATAGATTGCATCATTTGAGCCGTGGCTGGATTTTGCAACATCTGGCTTAGAGCAGATGGATCAAGAATGCCACCAGCATCTAATTCCGGAACACTAAGCCCACCAAATAAATCAGATCTTGCCTCACTAGCAGGGGTTGATCTTGTATTTGTAGTTGTAGGTCCAGCTGCTTTTAAATATTAGCAACTTATGCAAATACGATACTTGATTGTAAGCTTCAGTAGTTTAAAAGTAATGTTCAAACAGTATATACCAGCATTGCTCCATGGATTAGGAAGTGGGTTACTATTTGGTAAAGAACCATTTTCCACATCTGATCGGTTCGTTGACCGATCCCTGGTCTGTACATTTCCTTGATTCCCCAAGAGGGCTGCAAATGGATTTGAATCATCACCCCCAGTGTTGCCAGCCATGGTCGTTGCATTTAGGAATGGCTCCTGCACAGTTTCATACATACGCCTGAGCATGTTAAACCCTTCTGGTGAGGATTCAATATTGCTCATAGCTCTGTCTGTATTCCGCATCATTTCTCTCATTAATTCTGGATTTCTAGCAGCTTCCAGAGTCTGCCTAAGAGTGCTTGGATCATTAAGAACGTGTGCAAGATCAGGATTACGGTCTAGTATCTCCCTCATTTGGGGATTGTTCATAATGAGATTACGCACTAAATCAGGATTATTCATTAAATTTTGAATGGCTGGCATGTTCAGAATATCTCTCATCACGTTTGGATTCTGAGTAAGCTGCTGCTGCACTTGATCAAACTCAGGAAACCAAGACCCAGCAAAGCCAGAAGCTCCAGTACCAAAAAGCCCATTAGCACCAAGTCCAGGAATTAATGGAGAAGCAGAGCCAACACCACTGAAGCCTCCACCATCAGTGGAACTGGCATCTCTTAGAGTTTCTGTAGCAGAAGTACCGAGATTGGCTGAAGTATTAGTGGATGTGGTGGATGGCACAGAACCACAAACCATGTGAACTGTATGATCTGACTCCATGCCTATGAAAAAATGAGAACTGTAAGACAGCATTTATCTAGCATCAAATAGAAAATACGGTCTTGAAGATACATACTGACATTATACATCAAGAATAGTGAGCCAACTAATTTCAAAACATGTTTAATGAAACATTAGAATAGATTTTGAACTAAGAAGTGCAGCAAGTTTTATATGAACCATTCAACCTGAAAAAATGATTTCGTGGGTAGCATTAGCATTATACCATACTATAACACTAAGGATCAAGTCTAGCATAAAGGGTGGGAACAAAGGAAGAAGATTACAGTTAGCCAATTACTAAAGCAACATAACATTAACATCAACAAAATAATGATCCTGAATTAAAACATTACTTGAGTTTTACATTCTTACTAAGTTGGAAAAGTCAAAAATATGTGAGCCTAAACATTGCATGCAAAAATGCAAGAATATTTCATTGGAAATCATACCAAAAAAATTTTTAAGTTACTTGAGGTCTTGATTTCATTATTCAAGGCCTTAAACATGAGCAGGAAGAGATTTAAAAATTACAAGACATAGCATAGAAACTTAATGAAGCATATATAATGATTATACCAGAGTCCAATGAGGATTTTCATTTCCTTGTCTCTATTTATCATTATGACAGCATTTGAAAAAATATTAATTTTATCACAACATGTGAAGCAGTCCCACCCAGGTTGGTCAATTTGGCTCAATGTTTACTAATAGCGAATCAACTTGAGCTAAACTTGTTGGACATGTATATGTATATACACATATATGTGTAAATATACATATATGTGTGTGTGTGTGCGCACACGTACATACATATCCCTCTGAAAAGCTAAAGCCAGAGTGACCTTTAGAGCTCGTTTGGCGCGGCATTTTTTGCGTGGCTCGGCCCGAAAACGGCGTTTGGAAAATACGTCGAGCCGGCGTTGTGAAAAAATTTAGATAAAACACGGCTGTGGGTTCAACCCCAGGGCCCGCATTTCTTGCCTGCCTATTTACCCCACAACCTCCATCCCTCTTCTCGTTTTTCTCTCTCGACTCTGTTCCCTCTCCTGCGATTCTTCTGCCCTAGGTTCCTCTATCTCAGGATTCTTCTGCCCTTGGATCCGTGACTCCAATGACTAGCATTGTTTCCGATTGGCTATTGTTGATTGCGAGTGGTTATTCTGGCAACCCTTACATTCTTCTTCCTCTCCTCTCTTTTCTTCCGCTCGATTTTTGATGGTTCTGTGCACTCTGTGTTCTATTTGGTGAATCATTTACTTCAACTGGTAGTCATTGCGGTAAAGTTCGTATTCTCTCTTCCCCTCTCCCTTCTCTTCTTCGGCTCGGTTTGGTGGGTGTGCGCATTAATGGTTCTATGCGGTATTCCCTCTTCTACCTCCCTTCTCTTCTCTACAGCTTCTGCAATATCTCTCTTCTCTGTGTGGTTATATGCATTATGCTTGTTGGTTTCCTCTTTCTGATATCTTTGTGTGGCACGGTTTGGTGGTTTTTGGTTTGATATGCTCAGTTTGGTGGTTATGAAGCTTTATGTTGCATCTATAATAGTTTTGGTTTATGCTTTTGACGCACTGTAAATTGCAATATTAGTTGGCATCCATAATGGTTTTGGTTGTGCTATGCGTTGATCTTTAGATTTTTTGTGCTTTTGCTATTAGCAATGCTTCGGGTGCCGTGTATATAATTTGTTCAGTTTGTGGATTTGATTTATTTGCTATGAACAACTAGTGTTGTGGAGTGAGCTTTGGATTTTTTATGAATTTTGATATTTTAGTGGGAATTTGAAAACTGGATGAAGCATCAAAAAAACTAGATGGTTATTGCAGAGGGCTTTGCAGTGCCCTCTATTTGTTGTGAATGGTTATTGGTGGAATTGTTAATAGTAATATTTAGGGTGTTGTGTATGAGTTAAATTTGGGTTGGGATTATAAAATGCATTGGTGTTTGGTGTCTAGTGGAGGTGTTGGTGGTGTGGTGGTGCTGGAGTATGGAGGTCTTAGTGTGTCGAGGGGGTAATTGTGGTGTGGTGGATGTGTTGCTGTCTTGATGTGTCAGTGTGTCTAGTGTCTGGTGTGTGGAGATGGTGTTGAATTGCAATATCAGTTGGCATCCATAATGGTTTTGGTTGTACTATGTGTTGAGCTTTAGATTTTTGGTGTTTTTGTTATTAGCAATGCTTCGGATGCCCTGTATATAATTTGTTCAGTTTGTGGATTTGATTTATTTGCTATGAACGGTTAGTGCTTTGGAGTGAGCTTTGAATTTTTTATGAATTTTGATATTTTAGTGGGAATTTGAAAACTGGATGAAGCATAAAAAAAAACTATATGATTATTGCAGAGGGCTTTGCAGTGCCCTCTATTTGTTGTGAATGGTTATTGGTGGAATTGTTAATAGTAATATTTAGGGTGTTGTGTATGAGTTAAATTTGGGTTGGGATTATAACATGCATTGGTGTCTGGTGTCTAGTGGAGGTGTTGGTGGTGTGGTGGTGCTGGAGTATGGAGGTCTTAGTGTGTGGAGGTGGTGCTTGTGGTGTGGTGGATGTGTTGTTGTTTTGACGTGTCAGTGTGCCTAGTGGCTGGTGTGTGAAAATGGTGCTAGTGGTTTGGTGGTGCTGGTGTGTGGAGGTGGCGTTGGTGGTGTGGTGAATGTGTTGGTGTCTTGATGTATTAGTGTGTTTGATGTCTGACATGTGGAGGTGGTGCTAATGATGTGGTGGTGCTGGTGTATGAAGGTATTGATGTGTGGAGGTGGTGCTGGTGGTGTGTTGATGTGTTGATGTGTTGATGTGTTGATGTGTTGATGTGCCAGTGTGTTTAGTGTCTAGTGTGTGGAGACGGTGCTGGTGGTGTGGTGGTGCTAGTGTGTGGAGGTGGTGTTTTTGTATGGTAGATATGTTGGTGTTTTGATTTGTCAGTGTGCTTAGTGTATGGTGTGTGGAGGTGGTGTTGGTGGAGTAGGGGTGTTGATGTATAGAGGTATTGGTGTGTCGAGGTGGTACTGGTGGTGTGGTGGATGTGCTGGTGTCTTGATGTGCCAGTGTGTTTGGTGTCTGATGTGTGGAGGTGGTGTTGGTGGTGCTGGGGGTGTGGTGGTACTGGTGTGGTGGTGTTGTTGAGTGGAGGTGGTGCTTGTGGTGTGGTGGATGCGTTGGTGCCTTGATGTGCTAGCGTGTTTGGTGACTGGTGTATGGAGGTGGTGATGGTTGTGTGGTGGAACTGGTGTGTGAAGTTCTTGGTATGTGGAGGTGATGGTGCTGGTGGTGGATGTGTTGGTGTCTTGATGTGTAAGTGTGTTTAGTGTTTAGTGTGTAGAGGTGGTGTTGGTGTGTGGAGATCTTGGTGTGTGGGAGGACTTGGTGCTTTTTGTGTGGTGGATGTGTTGGTGTCTTGATGTGTCAGTGTGTGAAGGTGTTGGTGTGAAGGTTGTGATAATATTATGGTATTTCGATTTTTCTTTGATTTGAGATATTGTGCCATTCCTATTTATATTAATTAGTTTTATCATTCAAATAATAGAATGGTTAAGACTAAAGAGATTGGCTCATCTGGAATGTGAGATAAATAAACAAAAATAGTATTTTACGACATTTGCTTTAAGGAGGTCGATCTGGCGAGTTGAAAATAAAAAAAAAATGGAAGCTACTTTTCTTAGAAGCTAGATATCATAGTTGATGGCTTCATGCAACAATGACCCCAACACATGTGAAACAACATCCGTCTAGCAGTTTCTGCAAATTATGAATGCAACTCCAGAAATTTCTGAGCACTTGACACGTATTTGTTTTTTATGGAGTTTCTGAAAGATTCAACCCTGAGAGAATTTTAATCGGGATGCCCGCTGGATGCCCGCTGACCAAAGGGTGGTGTACCTACGACATTTTTATGAGAGAAACATTTGATAGACTTTTTTTATTTACAATTGCACGAGACATTTAAATTTGTTTATTATTTTTTATTTTTCTTGGGACATGCCTTATATGCATTCATTGATGCTTATATGTTTATTGTTTTGTTCGTAACATGATATGATTGTAGTTAAATTAATGATGGTTGTGTTAGCCAATTCGATACCGAAATACATGAATGCACCAGCAAAACGAGCATAAAGAGAGTTGCAGCTGTCGTATGCTTGATGTACGAAGATTATAACTCGTACATAGAGCGCTCCTCTTACATAGAATCCTCATATGCTGGAAACAAATGGGTTGGGAAGTGCTTGAAGGCCATTCAATGAGATTTAGCAGCATGCACTGCATGACACAAGTAGTATTCACCGATCTGTTGGAGGAACTACAAAGAAATCATGAATTTCATAGCTCATTCAGGACGACTTCGCGAGAGGTGTTAGCGATAACCTTCTATATATTATCGCAGAATAAATCAATCTGATGAGCAATAGAGCAATTTCAACACTCCTCCAAAACAATTTGCAGATACTTCTCAGCAAGGCTGAATGCACTTATAAGTTTTTGTTCACAAGTCATAAAACCAATAGATCCTACGTTCGAATGGATCCCACAGAAATTTCACACAATGAGCGGTACATGTCGTGCTTTAAAGAAATTTTCTAACCTATTACATTCAATTTTCAAATAAATATCGTAATCATATATCACTTCTTTGTCTTTCTAGAATTATATTGGAGCAGTCGATGGAACACACATTGATGCACGTATTCCAAATAATGAGATCACATTCATAGGCTGTTGTGGGTCACCGACACAGAATGTCATGATGGGTTGGGAGGGCAGTGCACATGACAGTCAAATTTTCAAAACTGCAACACGAAATAACAAGCACAACTTCCCACATTCACCCACAGGAATGTTGAGACTGAGCTATTATCCTAATTCATTTTTCCATTAATACTAATCATGCAATTCACATTAGATAAGTATAATTTGGTTGATGTTGGATTCCATCCTGATACGAGATACCACATACCTGAATTTGAGCGAGTCAGCAATGTCATGCGGGACAATAAAGAAATGTTCAAT